AGCAGCCTGGATCGTTTCCTGCAGCTTGAAACTGCTCTTTAGTATCCTATTGCTAACATGTCATACAGTCCACTGTATTTTCAGGCTGTCCTCCTCACATCTGCCACCTCTTCTGGTCTCCGCCTCATTATTCCGACAATCGCCGCCTCTTCAACCGGTGCTTTTGTTGGTTTTGCCGTGACTTGGACCGGCCGCTTGAAGTGGCCTGTCTTGAGTGGTACTATTTGCATACTCATCGGCACCATAGGCTTGGTTTTCCTTCAGCGTGACCTCCCATCTTGGGTTTATCTCTTCATCCTTCTCCCTTCCTCGATTGGACAGGGATTCCAATTCCCAGGAACATTCATGGCGATATTGGCTGCATCTCCTCAAGCCGAGCAAGCTGTTGTGACATCTACACTCATGCTGTGGCGAAGTCTCGGCCAGGTACTTGGCATTGCAAGTAGCTCGCTTGTTGTCCAGAACGCTCTGCTCCATTATCTCAGACAGTACGTCACAGGAGAAGGTCGTGATGAGATTATTCGTCGTGTGAGAGAGTCGGTTGAGGAGGTGGCCAAGCTTGAGCCCAAGTACCGAGAACAGGTCATCGTGAGTTATGAAGCCGCGCTGCGGCTCACATTCATCACTTGTGCCGTGTTTGCATTTGCCTCTGTGGTGATGGTCTGGCCGATCAAGCTTCCTCGTCTTGGTGTGAGAAAGCACAAATAAACTCGAAATCATATATCAAGTCAAGATGAATCAAAAGGACGAACGGACAAGATAGTAAGTATACAAGCGTAATGCCTAGCGGACAGATTGTTAGATTAGACCCAGATATGCTAGCCTCGACTGAGCCCCTATTTATACACCATTAATAACACATCAATCAATTAATCCCGTTAACTCCAGATGCCATGAGCGCGTCCAGCTCTTCCTTTGCATTTCTATAACTTTCCTGTGCTTCTCTCTCACGTCGGTTAACGAAACCGACTTCCTCGCGTAGAGCGCTTAGTCTTCGCTCGATAGCCACGTCCTCCGAGATGGCCAGCGTCTTAAAACCAGCCAGGGCAACACGTGCCTTCTCCAAAGCCTCGGAGGCATCGACCATCTTATCACGAAGCATCTTCTGTCGCTTCTGATAACCACCGAGGTGAAGTGATAGCTTCTTCTCTAGCTTAGCGCCTGCTTCAGCAGAAGCCATGATAGAGTCTTGAACAGCCTGGATAACAGTTAGTATAAAGGTTCACTTCTGCAGCTCATCAAAACTTACATCGAATGCGACCTTCATGACCGCCCCTTGCTCTTCCTCATCATCGTTGTAACAGCCCAGACCGAGGAGTAGCGAACTGCTTGCGCGTGCTTCGAATGCGGTCTGGATATCCTCGAACTTAGGGAGGGGTTTCGTTTCGGACATGATCAACAAACGAGCCTCCGCGAGAGCATCATCGTCGATTTGTTGAAGAGGCTTAGGGGCGCCACTGACTTGGCCACCAGGGACAGGATATTTCATCGCATCGTTCGCCATCAGGTTCGCTGATTCCTTGGCAATAAGAGACTCAGCAACATCTGAAATACTGGTAGCCTGTTTCAATAAACTGGGCAGATCGATATGAACCGGTCTGGGGAGGTTCTTCTGCATAACTTGAGTTCGCCTGCGAAATTCGAGGGCTTCTTCGGCTGCCTGCCTCTCACGTGCTCGGCGGTCCCGCTCTGCAGCATCTTCCTCAGTCATCTCATCAACTTGCATAGCCTCCTTCTCTTCCTCAGGGATATCGAACTCCCATTCAGTATCTTTTGGTCTGGGAAGAGAGGCCAGACCTGACTTAAGCTGGGTGCGCAAAGCCATATCTCTCATCCTGATGTCTCTGGGTGTAGCTGAAACCATCGACATTCCCCCGTCTTGGTTCAAAGATAGCGTGTCTCTGGGTGTTCTCATGGGCGTTTGTCCAGGTCGACCAGGCGTGGCTCCCACGCCATCTGCCCGCAGAGGTGTGGCCATTGGGTTTGGCGTGGAAATGATCTGCTTTCGAGGAGCGATGCCATCGAAACCAGTCGAGGCTGCGCCTACATGAAGCGGGGCGTTCTCACCACCGAGTAGGACAGAATTTGTGTCGTTGAGCGCTCGAATATTTCGGATTTCGTTTGCAATGTGATCTTCTTGTTCAGGGGCTCTTGGTGTTCGAATGGGGGTAGCGGAGTTCAGAGTAGAATATGTGTTAACAAGTCCTCGAGTAGCGTCGTTCTCACTCTCCTTTGCTCTCAAATTGGCAGCCTCACCCATCCTACCCATCTTGACTATGTCCTCCAACTCACCCTCGCTGACTTGGGGAGCGGGCAAAACCAGGCCACGACGCTTACTGCTCTGCTCCGCCTCTCTGATCTTCTGTAGCTGACCAGCCTTCAGAGCAGCCTTGTATGATTCCGACGCCCCATCCTTATCTGTCTTCTTTCGCTTTCGGTCGTTGTCATCCTCGCCCTCACCCTTGCGCTTGTTGGCCAGCTGTTGTTTCCGGGGATCAAAAGCTGCGCGTTGCGCCTCATTCTGCACCATTTCCTCTGATGTATCGTAGAAGCCAGGGAGCGCTTTTCTCTCGAAAGGGATATCGGCGTTGTAATCCATCTCGCCCTTTTTCCTTGATGTGACCTTAATGTTAATTCCAGCTGTCTTGAGCTCTCGTCTCTTCTGTAGAGCAGCAAGACGTCGCGACTCCTCTTGTTGACGCTCTCGGGCTTTTCTCTTGGCCTTTTTACCCTGTGTATTGGCCAAGCGGGCTCGAGCCTCACTCAGCATCTCCTTTTCGTCCTCGTCGAGATCGATAGTGTCGGGTCGCGCAGGCTTCGTCTCAGGATCGGGATCTAACTCGCCCGGTCGGAGTCTTCGAACATCATCGGCGCTAGGGGCTTGCGTTTCGCCTCCATCTGGGCCCATCAACCCAAGGCTAGATGATTCCTTCGCTTCGGCTTCATCGAGGAGCTTCTGGTATCGTTCGAGGCACTGGTTTGCTGTTCGGCCAACAATAGGAGCGATCGTGCGCCACTGGGTGGGCATGATCTTGGCGAGATGGAGGAGTCTCTCATCTTCCTCCTTGCTCCATTCGATCTTTTTGATGCTTGGGTCGAGCCATTCGTTCCATCTGGCTTTGCACTGCTTGGGCGTCTTGCGCGCCAGCAGCGATGAGACACGCGCCCACTGATTCAGGCCATACTTGGAGACGGAAGCCTTGAGAATTTCATCCTCAATGTTGGTCCAAACACCTCCTTTGACGACGGGCATCGCGGCGGTGTTGGCTGAGGCGCTTTTGATGATGTTTGAATACAATGGAGCCTGGACTATGCTGCGAAACACGCTTCTTGAAAATATCCAGGTTCCATCTACAGCGCGCAATTGTTGCTGACTCAGGCGGACAGGGATTATGATTGGATGAATGTTAAGCTCTACAAGCCCCACAGTTGCGAAGGAGCCCGTTCCTCCAGGGACATTAAACCTCTGACGTTAAATGAGGGCATCAGAATAAGCTGATCTAAAGCTCTACTTGAATACACTAGATTTGCCAAAATATTTTTTATCACTTAGGATAAAGGTCCTAAGCTTTCTTGCCTCCCCTTGCCTCGAGCGTAGGCTGAACTATCACTCTTCCCCGAGGGAAATGCAATTGTCGTAACCACTAGTGATGTCGTCCTAGGGAGATCTGAGCTGTTCCCTTTAGAAGGTATCATTTGCGGGGATCTCAGTATCAAAGTTGGAAATTTCGATGCGTTGCGCTCTTGGGTACCTATCAAATGATGGTTTTCGCCAGCTGGCTGCGACAGTGTATCATGACATCCATCAAACAGCATCGCCCCAACGTCTATACGACTGAAGTCATGATAACCGAGTACAAATTCTTTTATGTATTCGTCAATGGCCAGGCACGAGCTTTCGACATTCAGCAATGAAATCTATTGGATGAAGAGCTATTTGCTAAACTGCAAGTGGCTCTGGAATACACAGAGAGTGCGAAAAGGATTATCGTCTTGCTTCTACCTGAATATTTGGTGGTTAAATCCGAGATAAAGCAGTGAGCAGGCTAAACTAACTACATATAGTAGGAGTAGCAGGTTTGTAGGCACCTTTGCAACACGCGGTCATCGACTCTGGCAGATTTATAACATGATCTTCTTACATCCCGCGCGCTTGTTTCCTGTTGATGCCGGACTTTGCGGAGTCGGTTGGATCAAAACCCGAAACCCGATGCGATTCGATGCCACACTTTCAGGATTCAGGAGCAGTAGCCTATCAGATCAAGCCAGCGAGGGACCAACGAGCCACGCCAGCACCCATGATAGCTGTTAGCTTATCAGATACTGCCAGATCCCAGCCTGCATGGTATGCATTGGAAGCAGGGAGTGCGTCATTCATTTATCTATCTCGGCAAAGGTGCCAGAGAAGCAAATCTGGCATGAATCGAGTGATGCCGTGATGGGCCCGGCAATGGCGCCAGTATAACGTGATGGAGTATCAGAATCACCAATGCATTAACGTATATAGGCGACAGCAACTCAGAGATTGACAACTGTAAAAAGGAAATGCCCATCCATGGCTTATCGGGTCTTAAAACGATCGTGTTTCGTCTAGCTCTGGGACAATTGGCATGGTCCAACGTGGATAGCATGGATGTTGGACTCCACAACACCATCCTAGCACTTGGACTCATCATGTATCCGCAAGAGAGCTCCCCAAATGCGCCTAGATCATACATTATTAATCCTCCCCAGACCAGATCCCTTCTTCGTCACACTTATCTCATGCCAGTTGCAAGCGACACAACCCTCTCGCTTGTTTTCACTTCTGAGACATGCAAAATCTAGTCCTTATTATCCTTTGAAAGACTCGTCCATCTCTCGATTCCCCCTTGGCCATGCCCTAGAAACATCGTGATTGAAGAATACAGGCTTCACTGGCCATCACTTTGCTGCGCGCAGCACTTCACTGTCTCCGACCCGAACCGACGAAACTTGTCCCCCTTGCGCGCTAGGAAACCATGGCGAAAAATGATAGTATTCACGAGGAGGAGTCTGCGATCCTAGGCGAAGCAACACGTTTGCTGCCTACCAGCTCCGAACCTCGCGATGCAGATAATGAAACATCTTCTACAACTCCCGCTTGGGATTCCTTCAAGGACTTTGAAGGCCTACCCTGGTGGCGGCAACCATCGGTATGCGCCTAGACGTTGTTCAAAGCCATATTGTTCAGCTCTGACCTTGCTTGCAGGTTTATTGGCTGCTTGGTCCATATATCATTTTCACCCTTGCCTTTGGAGGTGTAATGGTTCCTAAACTTGACCTGTAAGCTTCTGTTGCTTGAAATATGTAGAATTTCTTTACTTACCAGCCTATGCGATAAGGATCCTTCAGCTCGTTTGCAGGCAGTATTTCGCAGATGAACACAGCCGTAATCCAGACGCAGTCTTCCAGCCTGTTCTTCTTGGGTCTGAAAATCCCCAATGCGATATCCCCGAAGTGCAAGCAAACGTGGCAAAATTCATGCTGGTCATGAATTTGTTCACTGGCATTCTAAGTGCTATAGTCGCACCGAAAATCGGCCATTTATCTGATCGATATGGTCGTACACGGCTTATGGCTCTAGCTTCTGTTGGTGGAATCTTGGCCGAATTCATCACTATCCTGGTAGCCCGATACCCCGATGTCATTAGCTATCGCTGGCTGCTTCTAGGTAGTGTCTTTGATGGTATGACAGGATCGTTCACTACGGGAAGTATTATGACACAGTCTTACACAAGTGACTGCACCCCTCCCTCAAAACGCGCCGTGTCTATGGGCTACGTGCATGCGTGTCTGTTCACGGGACTTGCTTTTGGTCCTCTTCTTGCAGGCTTCTTCGTCAAGTGGACTGGTAGTTTGCTATCTATTTTCTATGTTGTCATGGGATGTCACATTGGTTTCATGCTCTTTGTCTGGCTTGTTGTTCCCGAGTCCTTGTCTCAAAGCAAACAATTGGTAGCGCGGGAGAAGTACGCAAAGGACCAGGAGTTGCAATCTCCTGTCTCGCCATCATGGGTGAATACCCTTCGAACAGCAAACCCCCTCGCTCCTCTCAAGGCTCTCTATCCTACTGGCCCTGGCACATCGCCGGCTCTTCGTCGAAATTTGATTGCTCTTGCGATCAATGATACCATCATCCTCGGAGCAAGCATGGCCGCAGGTGCTGTCATTGTTCTCTACTGCGGACGGACGTACCACTGGGACCTCTTAGAAAAGTCGGGGTTTGTGTCTCTTCTCTCACTTGTTCGCGTCGTGGTCCTTATGGGAATATACCCTGTTATCAACTACTTTGGCCGCATCCGCCCAGCAGCTCGTCGTCGTCGCGAGTCCGGTGTGGCTGCCGTCGAAAGGAACCGTGGGGCAGACGAGCTTGACGTCCTGATCCTGAGAATTGCTTTGACTTCAGATGTTATTGGGTCTCTTGGATATGTATTTGCCCGTTCATCGCGAGTGTTTGTCGTGAGCGGTATGATGACCGCTGTCGGGGGTCTTGGGAGTGCAACTGGGCAAGCTATGATCACCAAGCATGTACCTTCTGAAAGAGTTGGCCAGTTGCTCGGAGCAATCGGCATGATGCATGCGCTTGCGCGAGTGTTAGGGCCAGTCTTGTTCAATGGAGTGTATGCCCTTACGGTTGGACGTTTTGACCAGGGTATTTTTGTCCTGCTGGCAAGCGTATTTGGATTCGCACTTGTGGTAAGCTTTGCTATAAAGCCATATGGTAAGTCAAACCTGACTTTATAGTCTGACTCTGAGACTAACGAATTATAGTCGTGTGGGAAGATGAGCCTGAAGATGAACGGCAGCCTTTCAATCAGACAGAGGACGCTTTCACAGTCCCAGATGGCCAAGTTCCTCTTGATGAGGAAGATCAGGTCAGATTCTAAGAAATGCCCGACTCTTCAGTAGAAGCGATTTTCTTTTGTTGGTTTTATGTTACAGTACAAAGGTGCATAGGTCGCCGTGATTGGTAACTCTTGTACAATAGTATCAGGCAACTCTTTGGATCGTTTGATCATAGAATACACACGAAGCAACTCACGAATTAAATATACCATCAACTGCCCAACAATCGTATTAAACACTCTTCTGCTGAGAAATGCTGGAGACCTCCGCCAAAAGGCTCAGTGTTAGACAATTGGTGCAAAAGATGTGGGTCCCATTTGAGTTCTCACAGGGGAATAGAGCTCACTCATGACATCAGATCACCACCTTTAAACGACGTGATTTATACACAACGAAGAAGGCGAAACTCAGGCAACGCCCTCTCATGATTTCATTGTAGACCAACTACTTCCACCAACTCATCAGACTTCCAAGGGCGCCACCGTAATCGCAGAAAAAGGTCCTCTACCAATTAGAGCATGCTTGCATCTAGAGCTTGGGCAACTACAAAGAGTCGTTCAGTGAGAAACATCATGACTGCAGCCGGAGACGCCGGAAGAAACATCAAGTTTGGGCCCTTTGAGGTCACAAATCAGGTGAGGAATCATGTTGAGCCTCAATGCCAAGCTCAGCCCCGAGCTTGCTCTTGTCATTAGTAGACACTGACAACTCCCAAGGTCTTCCTCACTACACCGCACTCTTTCGCGCTGGTGAATCTTAAACCTCTGATTCAAGGCCATGTCCTCGTCTGTCCGCATAACCCGCATAAGCGTCTAACAGACTTGACGTCCACCGAGATCTCGGATCTCTTCACAACAGTGCAGCTTACCCAGCGTCTGCTTGCACGTGCTTACTTCCGCACCCCGGAACCTGAGGCCGGAAGCTTCTCAGTTGCTGTGCAAGACGGAGCTGACGCGGGGCAGACGGTACCACATGTTCACGTCCACGTCGTCCCGCGAACGGCTGGGGACATGGGAAGCCCGGATGCCGTGTATGTTAAGCTTGCGGGAGAGGAGGGTAACGTCGGTGGCGCGTTATGGGATAAGGAGATGGGGGCCCGACCGAAGCCGGGTGGAGGTTTGAGGAGAGTCGATGACGAGGACCGAAAAGCAAGGAGTGTTGAGGCGATGGCTGAGGAGGCAGAACGATATAAGGCTATTCTGAAGGAGATGGGCATCGAATAGAGGTAGCAAGGCATTCTTTGCAGATCATAGAAGTCTAGCTGCATATACGATAGGCGTAGCATTGAAACGGACTCGTGAGTATCATAACATAATCGTAATATTGATCTCCAAACCTTTCACTAGTTTGTATCTGCAATTGCTTGCAGTTGCATAGCAGTATCTGTTGTGACATAGCTCTCATGAACCCAAGATAACGGATCGACAAGAGAACTTAGAGCTGATGAAACTTGCCCCAAAGTGCATCGAAAAGAGGCGATAGTTACGTGGCTTTCGAACGGATACACAATAAAAGCGAGCGTACCTGACAATGCAATGTATCACCAGGAGAACATGTAGACGTGAAGCTTCGAAACACAGACAGTACGCGTATGCTTTCTACGTTCAAGGCAAAACTCATGCCGGCACCGTTTCTTGGCTACAGTATAAATCAATATTTCGTGCCTTACGCCACGATTGTTGTTGAACAATGAGTTATCCTTATTCGCCACCCTAGACCATCACAACTGGAATGCCGATCTTTGAGTTCCAGAACTTACAGCACAAGAGTTCACAGCCACCCTTTCGCGGCCGTCTTTAGCTTGATCCGGGGGGCGTCAACGTTTGATCTGACTTTGAAGCATCTGGATGGCTCAGTAACGTCTTGCTGGTCAGCTACACCTCCAATGGGGCTAGGGCAGAATGACGAGTTCAATCAGTTGCAACTGGTCCAGTCGATAAGGCAGCTGAAGAATTCCAAGTTAGACTAGTGGCAAACACATCTTGCATATGAGTTCAGGCAAGCTTGAGAAGATGCATGCCATATGTAGCACGCATCTGAAGCTGCTGATGTGCCACTTCAACACAGGAATTCCATACGCTAGCTAACCGAACAGCTTATGATAATGCGAGGCTTGCAGCCAGGATACGATATGCGATCGCCCGGTGTGTTCACGACGTTTGGGTGTCTGATCTTATGTTATAGACTGATTGGAGGTTGGAGAATTAGGGCCTCGATCCCAAGTAGAACAGTATAGTTCAGTCTACAGTAACTGAGAGATTTTGTCAAATCATCCCAAGATCCGCGGCGTATGTCCTTAGTCTTGTTGGAAGAGGGCGCTGGAGGTACTCATGTGATGGGATAGAGCAAAATGAGGCTTTTCGGGATAGTTTCCACAGTGGCTCCCAGCTCAAAACACGCTAATGCTGTTGTTTTCGTTCACTTGGAAGACTGGCAGCATATCCTGGGATATATCCCCACATTACATTACAAGTCAGTTTCCCTGTGCGGGGATTGCTAACATTTGCGCGCCTATCCGCAATTAAACGAGGTCCGGACCTCATGTTTTGGCTTGGTAGCTTAGCCTGGTCTGGTAGTTGCGGATCATCGGGATATCTTGGAAAGAGTCCTGTGGTCGTTCCATTCAAAAGTGCCAGGCTGGCAACACGAGTCGCGCTTGGGTCGGTGAGCGAGCCGATGGTCCGAAGAAATGCAAAGGTGATGCATGCAACAACTGATACTGTACTGTGGCTCAATTCCGTGACCAGTTGAAGACATCGGACCGTTAATATGAAGATCCTAGTCGAGTTTAATCCTTCAATCAGCAGTGTCACGTAAAGATCAGCCTGAAAGCCGCTCTCTCTCATCCTCGACTCAGGTGTTGCCGTTGTCGCAGCCGTGTTCATGGTGTGTCGTTGAAATAGTCCCACCTTAACTAGTGGAGTCGGCGCAGAGGACAAGGCGGGAACTAGCGCAAGCAGTTTTTAGCCGCTTCGTTTGATGCATACGCTGAGATGCGGTGGATAATTAGTGCAGGGAGCCCTAGACGACAGTGGGCCCAGACAGGTCTTTTGCAATGCGTAGCGCAAAGAGACGAAGAGGAATCTCTTGGGAGAGCACGGGGCCAAGTTCAAGGGAGCTATAGACCACGCGATCTAATTCATACTTCCCCCGCAATGAGAATGCTAAATCGTCTGGTCACCAGAATCTCCGGAGTCCGGACTTCTTTTCCCTTGGTAGTCCAGTTCATGCCTTGCATGTGAGTGAGGGTCAGCAAAAGGCGGTGGACGGGCGTTGACTGCTGCAACTGTATGGTGGCTGGGTCTCGTCGCTCGCGCTACTACAAGAGCCTAGAGGTAAGCTGGTGACTCGGCACGGAGCACTATCGGCGATTGACCAAAGTGCAAATTGCATGGAACCATGATTGCAGCGCAGGCAGGGCAGTGTGCAGTGTGCTTGGGATCCAATGCAGGTCAACAGCTGGTGGGTCGCACAACGACAGGCCAGACGCTGGTGATCTGCGAGATAAGCAAAGACACTCAATTTAGGTTGCCCAAGGAAGGATATGACCTTTGTGGATGCATGTGAAACGTCAGTCAAGCCATGGAAGACCGAATAGCACAAGTTGGGCATCATTCTGTCGAATGACATACAATTGAAGGTCAGATGGGGAAAATGACGATGTTTGACAAAGGGGGAATTGCGATGAACTACCTTACTCGGCCATCGAGATGGAGGTCGGGACGCCGTGTGTTGTGGACGGGACGAGGGAGGTAGGGAGGCCACCTCAGTGAAGATGGAGGGGTGCCAACAGGCCTGGCCGTAAAGTTTCCGAGGAATCTCACAGAGACCAGAGTCTCAGATGGAACCATCAGCGGGCGTAGGCGCACAGACTCCCACCACCAGCCAAGCAATGCAAGCGCCAAACCCAACTCGCCAAAGTCGCACGTTGCAGCAACATCACCTTTTCCGCTTTCAATTGACCTGCAGCCATCTAATCTCTCTGCTTCATTAGCCTCAAGGTCCCCTTATCCGCTCAATGGATACACCCGGTTCTCGGGATGTTTTTTTTTTCTCAGGGTCGCTTTTGTTAACATCTACGTTGTTTGTTTGGAACGTTGTTTAGTGCGCCACTGAAAGCATAGGTAGGTAGTCAATGGTCAATGGTGTCGGGAGGTGGTGAATTATTGCTTTTGTCGTATTCTCGAATCTGAAACCTGAACTGCCACTGACGTTGTTGAGCCGCATCCTTTTCCAAGTTCGTATCTCGCTTTCCAGAGATGCTGGAGCTTGAATCCACCAGTCACGGAGCTTGGCCGGTATTACGCAGGGTTGCGGTTACAAGGGCCTTGTTCGCGGTTGAGTTGCATGGAACCATCTGGATTACTTGAGATCTCCTCAAGTCCGTGAGAGTGAGGAGATGATGAATAGGCAGATAGGATACACAGTCACCATCACAACATACAAAAAACCCCTTTGCCAGTATATTGATAACGATTATTATCTCTTTTGTCAGGATACGATGTGGTGTTGAGATGTCGATCAAATGTCTTTCTCATCGCTGGAGTTTTCATTGACTTGAGCAACTGGATCTTCATAGCGGCTCTACTACACAGAATTGTGTGACTGATTCAAGCCAAGACATGGCTTGAGTCGTTACGCGGCTATTGAGTTGATGTTACGAAAAGAATGGTTCAACACCAGAAACACTCTTGCGTAGTCGCTCAATGCCCGGTCATCGGCTCCGATGGAAATGAACAAACGAATGCAATGCAACGAAACGACCAGAAGAGAGAATTTTCAATTCCAGGGTGGCGGGCCTAAACAAAAGACACAGCCAATCATTACATACGCTCAAATCTCAGATACCGGATAAAGTCATACGCTAAATTAGAAGGAAGCTCTGGCCTCAATGGCATCCTAGGGGTGGCCCACCGGCAATCGACATGCATGCGACGTTGGGGATGGAACCTTGACACAGACCACCATCGGTCAAGCCGCCCAATCAAGTGACATATTGCCGTTAGCTGCATGCAGAATCCAGGACGCTCCCGAGAGTTCCCCTCCATCTTGGGTGACCAAGACACACTTGACACGGACTTGAGGGAAGCAACACCAACGCCAATGCCAACGACTCCATCAGTCCCGTCTAACGATGGCTCCATTCACTCTCTGTGTCCAAGTGACCACCTGCCGACAGTCCGGAAATTTGCCTGCGATAGCCCGTGGAGCAGTCTCGTCTTGCTGTATCACGAGACACTTCATGCCTGCAGTCAACAGTGACACGAGAAGAGTATGAGAGGTGTGGTTATCTGGCTGGGTCTCAGACCAGAGATGCATGCATATGTATGCATGTGAACCGATATCAGGGAGGCAAGAAGGTGTAGCGTTTCAATGCCATATCCTCGCGGCAGTCGACGACGGAAGCACCAGAAACATCCAATTGCTGGTAGAAGATGCAGAGTCTCTTATCTCTGACACATGACACACAGGACTGTCGACAAACAGGTGAAGGAAGATCAGGCAGGCTTTGTCTCACTCTGGCCGCGCCCGGTGTTATTCTACCGTCCAGTTTTTCTTCTCTGGGCCTTGTCGTATGCAACTGTTGGTTCAAATTTCCTGATGGTGTATGCAACTCCCAGCAACAAGGACAAGCTTAGCGGCCGCCCCACATGCTGCAAACGAAGCTTCGACTGTTCCACTGCAAGCAAAAGCCAGGTTCTTTTTTCTCCGCCGAGTAAGTTGACGGGACCTTATCGGCCAGGGAGAGCGAGCGAGCGAGCGAGCGAATTGTCTAGGCTTATTCCAAGGTTGAAGTTGGCCTTTGATTGCGATTTCGGTCCCCACAAAAAAGTGTCGCTGCACTTACACGGGCATGCGCTTGTTCTCCTTCTCCTCCAACTTGCGCTTGCACTTTGCTTGACTGACTTTTGGTAGAAATATCCCATCTCCCACCCTCTTTCCTCTCCTTCGTGACTGAGCTTTTCTTCCTGTCTAATTAACATTTTATATCCAAAGTTTGAATCACTTCCCATCTCCAGTCTGGGCTCTTGTTCTTCTATCTTAACTGTTGTGATTCTGCTATTGCTGATTTCCTTGTGAAATCCCGTACTAACTAACTGGCGCCAAATTCTCCAACAAGACAGCCACTTCCATTCACCCCAAAGGGCTACGATAACCACCCTTCTTCTGCCTTTTCCAAATATCCCTTCCGTGGAATCGTCGCTTTGCTTATTTTCCCGTCCATTTTGGGATCAAGGCGGCGATTGTTTTTTGACAAGCTCAACAACTTGCCTTTCTTTCCATCCACGACGTGATACATCACAAATTACCATGGGTATGCTTCGCGCTGGTCCTCGTGACCCAGATGCATTCCCGGCCATGCAGCTCTTCCTCCTGGGTAAGATCAGATATTGCACTTCAACAATATGCGCTAACTCTAAATAAGCCATTGTCCGACTCGCTGAGCCTATCGCTTTAACGTCCATCTTCCCATACGCCTGGGCCCTCGTCAAAAGTTTCGAGATAGGCCGTGAAGAAGATGCTTCGTTTTACTCTGGCATCCTTATATCCGCATTTTCGCTTGCTGAAGCTGTTATGGGAACGTACTGGGGCGCCCTGTCTGATCGTATCGGCCGCAAACCTGTTTTGATTATTGGATCGCTAGGTACAATGATCAGCATGTTGATGGTGGGAGTGGCTCCAAGCTTCGGTGTTGCCTTGTTTGGCCGTCTCCTCGGTGGTCTACTGAACGGCAATATTGGTGTTATCCAAACCATGGTTGGCGAGCTGGTCACTAAACCTGAGCATGAGCGTAAGTCTGCAAACCATTGCTCGAATTTCCACGACTGACCAATATTTTAGCACGTGCATACTCCATCATGCCTTTTGTTTGGAGCATTGGAACCATTGTTGGCCCCTCTATCGGCGGCATGTTTGCCAACCCTCATGACTCTTGGCCTGAATCTTTTCCGATCGGCAGCCTCTTCCAGCGCCAGCCTTACTTGCTGCCTAACGTTATCTGCGCAGGATTGCTGCTTGTGAGCATTGTGCTCGGTTTCCTCCTCCTCGAGGAAACCCATCCCGATATGGTCCAGCGCGTTCCTCCCAGCGAATACCACGTCAGTGAGGAGACCCCTCTTATGATGAACAACCGAATGGCCACCGAGATTGAGCCACGAGCGTATGGTGCGATAGAGACAATTGAGGATTCAACTGATGGCTCAATTGGGGACTGGGATACTCTCTGTATCGAAAATGAGAAGACAGCTGCTGCTCCCATCAAGATCTGGAATTGCCGTGTTGTCGGCTTCATTGTCGCCTTGTCAATCTTCACTTACCATTCCATGACCTTCGACCATTTGCTGCCCATCTTCTTCGAAGACAGCCGTGTTGATTCTGTGGAGATGTTCAAGCATGGCTCTATCTTTCCTTTCTACTCACCTGGTGGCTTGGGCATGACTCCGCGAGATGTTGGCGTGATCTTGGCAATCGACGGCGGCATCGCTCTGTTTATCCAGGTTTTCGTCTTCCCCTGGACTGTCAAGATGCTTGGAACCTATCGCCTTTTCCTGCTCGTTACTGTCCTCCACCCTATTATTTACGTGCTGATGCCCATGCTCCTCCTTGTCCCTGAGAGCCTTTTATACCCCGCTATCTACGGCTGTCTCATCATCCGCAACATTCTTTCCATTATACTGTATCCTCTTCTTATGATTCTCATCAAGGAGGCTACACCTGCCCCAAGCGCTCTTGGAAAAGTGAACGGCTTGGCAGCAAGTGCTGGTGCTGCTTGCCGAATGATTGCTTCACCCGTCGCTGGATTCTTGTGGACGGTCGGTACCAAATCAGATTGCTCTGCCTTGGCCTGGTATGGTAGCGCAATTGTCGCTATTCTGGGCGCCGTTCAGTGCTTCTCTGTTCCTCGCCGGCGCAATGAGGAGCCCTATGAAGAAGCATCTAAGGCACCTAGCAAACAGATTGTTACAGTGACCGAGACTGAGTTTTATGACTCCCCATAAGGAGCACGCGGCGCAGTTTGAAACCCGATCAGGTCGAACATGCCGAAGCGACTTCGCGGATTCTGCAACCCGTTTTTGGACTTGATTGCCTGCAGCAAGTCATACTGTTTTATACCCTCATGAGTTTGGAGTTCAAGCATGTTTCGATAATTTGCCTACAAAAACGACTGGTAGATGGGATGGTGTTTATTACGGCCGCTTTTACGAAGTTATGTATACCCCAGGTATAATGATTGATTTGGTTTGGGATGACTTTTTACTTTTGGAGTTTGGAGTTTGACTTGATTATTGAAGAAAAAGGCTTTGGGAGTTTATTTGTTTTTGAACTGGGTTTACGGTTGAATATGGGATTTGGTATATATGTTAGATAAAAGCGAGATAAATAGGAATAGAAATAATTACAAATATGACCACTCCCAACTAAGCGGGTTAAAGAATGGATGCTTTAGATTACCGACAAGGGCTGTCTTTCTCGTTGTATTGTATATCGACTACCCATCTGTCCATATTTAGTTGTTTGTGCGATAGTCAGTAGCCCCTCTAAACAAAGCAAGAAATCTTAGGATCTCCTGCTTTAAGTGATAGAAAGATTTACATAAGTTGAGACATAAGTTAGTAGGCCTTCAGGGTGGTCAATTATGACATCCTGAATATTAGAAGTTCCCCCCCACGCCGGTTTCTTCTATGTGAATCCTGAGTCGTGATACTCCGTAGTTGACGAGGTAGCTTAGTAGCTGATGCCCAATAGAAATTTCGCCACCCACCCTAGAGTTGGAGAAGCTCAAATTTTAGCAATTGAGTCACTTTGAATCCACCCACCAACGACATCTGAAGTATAAGACTCACCACAATATTCTTGACTTGCAGACAACAGTGGCAGCTCCATCTGCTCTAAAAGGGAAAAATGAAAATCGAGGAAATCACCGACAAGATGGATGAGGCCATGAAGCTGGAGCAAGCCTCATCACTGCCAAATACCAGCGCCACAGAGGCCACCAAACCTGAGCTGCCTCCAGCTCATGCCATCGCCAGTGGAAAGACTGTTGACGAAGTATGGGAAGATCTAAACAAGTCGCCTCTTTTCATGACAGACCTCGATGCCAATGAGGAGAATGAAGACATTGCAGCACTGCAGGCACTCGCGTATGAAGGCACACCTCTTGAAAACGGCCAGGAGTTCAAGGAGCGTGGAAATGAGTACTTCAAACTTAAGAGCTACGCCGATGCAAAGGAGTTTTATGGAAAAGGTATTGCTATTCTCGCTGGCGAAGAGCGCAAGCGCGCCAGGGGCGAGCAGACAAAGAACCAGGAGGGCGTAATCGACACTGAGGAAGAGATTCAGAAGCAGCGCGAGACTCTTGAAGCGCTCTACGTCAACCGGGCAGCATGCCACCTTGCTGTTAAGAATTACCGCAGCTGCTGGCTTGATTGCGCTGCAGCATTGCGCCTCAACCAGCGAAACATCAAGGCATACTTCCGCAGTGCACGAGCACTCCTTGCGGTGGACCGTATCCAGGAGGCCGATGATGTTTGTGCGCGCGGTCTTTCATTAGACGAAAACAATGCTTCGTTGCGTGCTGTAGCGGACGATATCATTAAGCGAGCCAAAGAGATCGACGCGCGACGAAAGAGGGACGCAGAGCGCGAAGCAAAGGAGAAGCGACGCGCACTACTCATCAAAGCTGCACTGCGAGCGAGAAATATTCCCACACGCACAACCTCTCAACCACCAGAGATGGAAGATGCGGGTATTGCGCTCCTCCCAGATCCTGATGATCCCCGCAGCACGCTTGCGTTCCCAACAGTACTGCTGTACCCTCTACACCTGGAATCTGATTTCATCAAGGCGTTTGAGGAAACACATTCGCTCGATGATCATCTGAGCTACATCTTCCCTCTGCCGTGGGACAAGGAGGGTGTGTACACGACAACAGGTGTAGAGGCGTTTGTGGAAACCACACAGGGTGGCCTCCTAAAGATGGGCAAGCGGGTGCCGCTGTTGAAGGTTTTGGGAACGGGCAAGGTCGAGGTAGTGGACGAGGTGGTGAGGATCTTTGTCGTTCCTAAGGATAAGGCAGAGACATGGACAAAGGAGCACAAGGCAAAGAGAGCGGCTGAAAAGGGAGAGACAAGCTGATGGATGTAAGAAAGAAAGAAAGAATAGAAAAAAGTTACTTTGTTTTACAATGATGTTCGTGTACTAACTAAGACTTGCGATTGCTGTTTCCTAGGCCCTAAATGATGTGCTATATGCTGTTATGATATGATGGAGATGCCACCCGATACTGGCGATTGAGTGATTGAGTGAACCCAGGTCCGAACTTTTCCATTCTATTCGCTGTTAATACTATAACCCCCAAAGACTCCTTTGTCGACAGAACCCCATTGCGCCTTTCCCCTTTCTGCCACAGTTATTTGGACAACGAAGTGGCTCGCAGTCTCTTATTGCGACGTCCTTCCTCGAGCTCAGGCTGCAATTGGATAGGAGGCGGCGACTCGACGGCGTTGGGAGCAGAGGGCCCCTGGTCTTGCATCCTGAGGTTTAAGAGAAGCATAGCTGCGTCCTTCTGGGCCGCATCAGGTACGCTGTGTGGCGTCTTGATCACTCGTTGCCTCATAGGACTGGCGTCAGGGGTCGAAACCATGAGAATAGATCTCGGGCTCATGGCGGGACTGGCACTCTCTCTGTAAAAGCTGTCCCAGTCTTCGTAGTCCAGTCGTCTCTTAGGTCCCCACGGAGCACAAGAGAGACCTCCTTCATTCTGCAAAGGTGGGATGCGAGGGACCGCACTAAGCAAGGGATTAGGCTCAGGGCTAGACTGGTTTGCAACGGTCCAACTAGATCCCGGACGAGAAGTCACCATATAGCCAGGAAGTCCCGAGCCGCTACTCGAGGCTGAGTTGGGAGCTGACATGTAATGGCATTCGACGTCGCTGTCCATGGCCCACGATGGGTCACAGAACAGACGGGGCCGGAATCGGTGGCGGCGCTCGTCTTGGGCATAAATACTCGGTGGAATACTTCGATCGTCTCTCGGATAGCTCGTAGCGCCATGGAAGCTAGGTGGGATCGTACTCATATGCATACGCCTAGTCATTTCGGCTTCATGGGTAGCTTCGATGATTATTTGCTGGCTGATGACCATGCGGCCGAAGTCAGGCGCGCTGGGATGAATGCAGAGAGATGGAAAGTCTGGGCCAAAGATTGGAATCAAGGCACCCGCGATAGAGTAGCAGAAGGTTGCGCAGACAGCTTTGGCACATGTGTATGGCATCCAATAACCTGCGTAGACTGATGAGCAAACGACCAGAAGGCGCTGAGAGATGGATCATACCTTGAGCAGCTATAGAACCTCCAGTAATGCTATGTGTGATTTCTTTGAGCCCTGGGTTGAGGCCTAGCATCTTTGCCGGAATTGTCTATTCCATTGGCAGTTAGTATATATATATCGAGGCTTGTTCTTTTACTTGCCTTTCCGTAGCCGCGACATTTGAAGAAAGGAGTCATGCGAACGAGCCCAACATTATAGTCCCACATCACAGCGTAATCAGTGTTCTGTTCAGCCAAGGTGAACTCGTATTTGAAAACTGTTAGGGTTGCGTCAATGACCGGTGATTGAGGCTAGACTTGGTAACTTACCCTCAAAGCTCTCTCGTCCTGTCTTTTCGTAAAAGTCCTTTTTGCCACTGTTGTATGGGATGTGAAGGCTTGAATCCTGTATATTCCCAAATGGCTTGACTCGGAATCGGTGTATCTCTTGCAAAGTAACCTCGTCGAGATGCTGCTCGAAAGGGTGAAACTTGACTGGACCGCGCAGCTTCGACTTGGCCATATTGTTGGCGTCTTTCGGCCCGGATCTATCAAAAACCATCATAAAACGGTTCCCAGATTGAGTTGATGCCTCTTCGAAGTTCGGGATTGGTGGAAACTCGAGCGCAGGACTTGGTCGAGGAAAGGGGGGGTCATTATCTCCAGCTGGTGCTGGGTTCAGGAGACCTTTAAGGGACAACATGATGAAAACCAGTAAAGTTTGCTAGAAAATAGAAGCTTTAGAAGCGCAAAGATGTTCGAGAGATGCGGGAGGCCAGATATTTGGCCGTAAAGAGATGGCTAAACCAAGTGGTTTGGATAGTACAGCGGGCAGCGGCCGTGATATAACTACTTCTGGATTGCAGGGAAGGACAGGCAGCCGCAACACTACAGCTGAGGGAGACTCTTCGCTTTTCAAGTCACTCCTCAGCTTGACAAACAAATCGGGAAGGGGCAAATATGCCTGCGTGTACCGAAATAGGCGGTGGTGAGGAACCCTAGCCTGAGCTGGCTCGGCCAGCAAAGTTGCTCGGGAACCTGCAACTCCAAAAAGTCGGTCACGCCTTGTTTAGGTCAGGCCGACACTCTTCGTTATGTTTTCTTTGTTCTTTCAGTTTCAATGCCGGCTTCCAAGGGGCTAGAGCTCCGTTGACGAGCTCCCACCGCCTGGTGCTAGCAGATACTAGGAACAGCCACCAAGTGATAGATGACGGAACGATGTCGGGGCAGGCTATTAATGATATAGTAAAAGAAATTGGGCTCAGTTTGAAGCTTCGGGAGAAATGCAAGGATGATGTTTCCAGATACTTTGATGAATAGGAACGTATTGCTGCGTTGTCCTACTGCTATGGTTTTGTTCATCCACCTAGGAGATATGTTTGAGTTCAGAGTCCCGCTTTATCAAACAGCTCCTCTATAGCCTCTAGAATTCCCCTCCGCATTAGGAGGACCATAAGGCAGAAAGAACTGCAACAGGGGTGCGTATTGGGGCTGTCGGGTGTGGATAGGTCAGCCTTCACTCCGTGCCGTCCGTTACACTCCCGGATACATCCTCTCCTTTGCTCTGAACTCCAAAGGGCACCACACAATCCTGGCTTCGTCTAATTAATATTGTAGTTCGTCTCTCATTGATTGAATGGCTAACTCCCTGGCATAGTCTGGAGGCTGGACATCAAGACTGAACTGTGAGCCGCGAAGGAGTGCCAAGAATAACGAATTGGTTGTCTCGCCTTCCAAAGGCCGCCCCACGGGCTCAGAGTCAGAATGAAGCACAGGCGGATGCTTGCATACCACATCGTCCAGGACCTTCTACCCCAGTCTGTTTCCTGATATTTGTACAACAGGAGACAGCGGCCCTGCTGCCACTGAGGTTCTGTTGTTCATCTCAGCACTCCCTCAGAATTGCTCGAGTCGCCCCCACGTGTCAGTATGACAACTGACAGCTAGAAGGGGCACGCTTCCTTACTGAGACGGCTTGCACATCGACATGACCAACACGCCTATCAGACGTGTTTCCTGTTTCTGCGATCAATGAATATATGAGGTGTCAATGGTTTGTCAGGGATACCTTTCATGGGTCCTTCTATTTTGACCAAAGACCTGTGCATAGCCGTTGCATACTACACCAGTGGTAGGTTTCTGCTGAGAGTTCGATGGCGCTTCCAGAAGTCAGTCTGGTATATTCCCTCCCCATATGATCTATCGCGGTGAGGCCAGAAACAAACCTGTCATGTCTCTGACCTTTGTTACTCTCACGAGCTCTTTGGTGTACAGACACAAGAAAATTCCCCGAAGGGGGACACAAGTCTATGCCAAATACGCTCGCCCCTCCTGCGCATGGAGTAGCCATCAATGCTTTGCCATTCAGTTACCATTTGATTCAAGTTACGATTGCGCCAGTGTGAGAGAGCCTGGAGGACTTGTTGGGCGTTGTGCCCTCCATATCGTCAACTAGCGTAATATGACTGCACCACAATTTCTGAAATACGATGTCAATGGCCTAAGCCACCATGCCGTTGTTGCGTTTTACTCTGCTCTCTTTTGTCACGAGTAGGCATGAGACGCCGGTCGAGGTCGGTGACCTTTTGGCAACTATCGCTGTCTCGCGAAAGTCATGGCATCTGGCGCGACCAGCCGACGGCTCGGGCAGCGACGCTCTTCCGCGGTCGGGTCTTCTGTCCACTTAATATGAATGGCCAGTGATAGTCCTGTCGCTGAATAGGGAGTAACCAGTCAACCAGGAGTTGCAGAAAGGGTAGAGGTAGGGCCCAACAACGGGCTATGGCGTTTCTTGAGTGAACACCGTCTTAGTCTGCAGCATTTGGGCATTCGATGCACTGTCTGGGTATCTCGGTCTTCCTGATTCGGACAAATTGACATCCGTGCCTAATTTTGAGAGATGAACAGCATATTTGGCACCTCACCAAGCTTATCGGACCGAGCTCTGACGAATTTGGAAATGACTGATTGTCCAAATCGGTATCAGAGTAGATGAATTCCTTCTTAGTTCTCAGAGCTTGGTTTCAGATGATTGTACGATTTCGGAGCGGTATGACAGCGGTAGTCCATGGCGAGTGAGCGTTTCTTTTGCATCAGGCGCAGCCAAAGACACAAAGCGGCTCCCTGCATCGAATTTCGGGCGGTGTCACCGTTCTTCCTCCCCCGTTGGTGTGGCATGAGTATCGTTGCCCGCGTAAGATAGCTGTGTTGTGTAGAGAGGCAGTGCTTTTGTAACTAGATTTGAGGACTTTAGATGTTTGATCGAATCCAGCCTCACAAGGTACGAAGGAATGAAATGCAGCACTGGCCATACCACATGGGTAGAACCCAAAATCCCGGCTTTGAGCCTGGTGTAAAGACCATACCAGAATGTGGCCATAATACCTATTTTCACATTTTCAGCGATGCTACACGATGACCAACAAATGTGCCCATCGAATGCTAAAGCAGGCGCAACAAGCTGCAAGCTGGCCCGGCGATGAGTCGACAGTCGATGCCTCGTTGAGTCCTCTGGTGGTGATACGGTCCGCTAAGTCAAGTTATTCTCGAACATGGTGAAACCAGGAGAATAAACAAGTCTCGTAGGCTCATCCCATGGAGACACACAGGCATTTGGCAGACACTTGCCCTCATCCTAAGTCGCACACTTTGACTCGGCCCGCTTAGCCCAGGCTGAGACCGGTGCATGTCTGACTTCGAGCTTGACAGGCTCTTTTCGGAGAATAAGCGACCGCGATACCACTAGAAGAGGGCCGGCCTCGGATGCTTTTCATGTTGCCGCACTTTCTATGAGGAAAGCTCCTGTTCTGGGAGATTTGTGGTACGTGTGGCACGAGCCGAAGCGTTAATCAAACGAGGTGAGTAATGGTTTGCTATCCTTTTATTTGTTCTGGAGATGTTTCCATTCCATCTTAATCAAAATTTGATCCTGTTTGGCGTGAAGAGGTCTTGAGCCGAAAGTAAGTTTGCATAAGGGGAGCCTTGAGTTCATCCCGTCTTTGAGCGAACCGGTGAGGCGAGTAGTATCGGGTTTGACAGAAACGAATTAATGTCTCCTCCTGAAACCCGAAAGACCTTTCAGGCCGACTTTCTTTGCAAGAAAATCCAGTGTCAAGAAATGAGTAAGCAATCGGCAATTCAAAGCCATTTCCTTTAGTTAGTACCTTGGTCTAAGGTACTCAACGTCTCTCCCACTCACACCAGTTTACATCATCATGTGCCAGGTCACGGGGTCTGGCGTTTGGAGGAGGGGATTTGGCCTGAGGCGTAAATGCGCAGCCCCACGACGGGCGGAAGTGGGTCGCCAACGTCGCGTCCCTGTAAGATTTGTTTACAATAGGGACCCTTGATTGTCACAACAACATAACAAGGTAGGACTGTTTTAATAGTTGATGGGAAGTCTGGCACCTTTTGTTTCTTCATTTTTGTTATCGCGACTCTGTACGCGAGCATCACCACTCGCTCGACCTGGTCGTCCTCCATTCTTGACCTCATTGTCTTTATTTTGTCCCTCATTGAGACCCCTGTATTCAAACTCATTGTCCTTAAATCCTGTCCTGGCGCCACAAGCCAGATTCTTTGCTCTCACTGCCAACAACAACAAGATGGACTCCGATGCGTCCATGTTCAGTCTTGGGGAGGAGTCAGATGGCTACGTCCCTGAAACCGTAAGTAATCCTTTGTTTTACCCCTCTTTGTTGGCACAAAAAATCGGTTTGCGCATTGTGTGCCTATTTCTCTCCCTCAATCTGCATCGCATTCTTTCAATTCCTTTCTTAAAACTTATTTACATCAAACACCTTCTCCGCCGAACACTTTCGTATCTGCGCTTTTTGCACAAACATAACCTGACATTTCCTTTAACAGAAGGCGAAATCCAAAGCCGCACCAAAGAAGGCTGCTGCGCGGCCGCCCGTCAAAAAGATGGTGCAAACAACCCTCAAAACGAAGAGCGCACCCAAAAAGCGCCCTACACCGGAGAGCGACGACGATGATATAAGCGTTGCCACAGGTTTCTCAAACACGCCTCCCAAAGCTAAGAAGCAAAAGAAGGAACCTGCAGTCAGCAAGTCTTCTGGTGCGCCCTTGGAGGAGCTTGAGAATGATAGCATGGTGATTGACAGCCCCGCCAAACCTGGCAAGAAGAAGACGGCCACCGAAATGTACACGAAGCTGTCACAACTAGAGCACATCCTCAAGCGACCTGATACATACATCGGCTCTGTTGAGAGGACGGAACAACAGATGTGGGTTCTGAGCAAAGAGACCCAGTTGATGGAGTACAAGAACGTCAGCTTTGTTCCTGGTCTTTACAAGATTTTCGACGAAATCTTGGTCAACGCTGCCGACAATAAGCAGCGCGATGGCTCCATGACTTACATGAAGATCAATATCGATCGTGAGAACGGTGTGATCAGCGTCGAAAACAACGGAAAGGGTATTCCGATTGTCATTCACGAAAAGGAGAAGATCTACATTCCTGAGCTTATCTTCGGACATCTGTTGGCGGGTTCCAACTTCGACGACGACGAGAAGAAAACCGTTGGTGGTCGCAACGGTTACGGTGCCAAGCTGTGTAACGTCTTCAGCACTGAATTCAACCTTGAATGCCAAGATAGCGAGCACGGCAAGAGGTACAAACAGACCTGGAGAAACAACATGCAGACGATGGAGAAGGCCAAAATCACCAGCAGCAAGACCTCA